GAAAATTTTGCTAGGAGATTTCAATGCCAAAGTAAGCAGGGAAAACATTTTAAACCAACAACTGGGAATGTGAGTTTGCATGAAATTAGTAATGATAATGGAATTAGAGCAAAACAACACACAAACTTTAACTGACGCAAGTAAAGAGGTTGGTCTAGAAGCAAACAGTGAGAAAACTAAGTATATGTTGTTGTCTCCCACCAAAATGTAGGGCAAAATCATGATATAAAGACAGGAAACAGATGTTGTATTTTAGCGTCCTGTTGCACTGATTTTCATCCATGATATATATATGTATATGATGATGGCACTATGTTGCCGAAATATGTCGTGAAGTAACAGGTGAAATTGAGTGCACTACAAGACGGCAACTGTATACATATCCTGGAGGAAACAGATGTTTTCAAAATGTGCTACAATTCAGATATTTTGGAACAACGATAATTCAGACGAGACTGAACTCGGGTAATGCTTGCTACCATTCAGTCCAGAACCTTTTGTCTTCTCGTCTGCTGTCCAAAAACATAAAAATTAGAATATACAAAACTATAATTTTGCCTGTGGTTCTGTATAGGTGTGAAACTTGGTCTCTGACATTAAGGGAGGAACACAGACTGAGGGTGTTTGAGAACAGGGTGTTGAGGGGAATATTTGGACCGAGGAGGGGTGAAGTGACAGGAGGTTGGAGAAAACTGCATAATGAGGAGCTTCATAACTTGTACTCTTCTCCAAGTATAATTAGAGTGATCAAGTCAAGGAGGACGAGGTGGACAGGGCATGCAGCACGAATGGGGAGACGAGGAATGCGTATAGGATATTGATGGGAAAGCCAGAAGGAACGAGACCACTGGGAAGACCAAGGCGTAGGTGGGTGGACAATATTAGAATGGATCTTAGAGAGATAGGATGGGATGATATGGATTTGATTGATCTGGCTCAGAATAGGGACCAGTGGAGGGCTCTTGTGAACACGGTAATGAACCGTTCCATAAAATGCTGGGATTTTCTTGAGTAGCTGTAGGATTGGTGGTTCCTCCAGAATGGTTCAGCTCCATGAGTAAGTAAGTAAGTAAGTAAGTAAGTAAATTTTACACATGTAAGTCTCTTGGAATTCAATGGGAGGCCTTTATATTTGTTACATAAACTTTTGTACCATTATCTTCTTCATTCCTTCCTCCCGTATCCAATTCCCATCCCATTTATTTTTTGCACCTTATTATTCTTCTTCTCCTCCCTTCCTTATTCCATTTCCTTCGCAACAAACCAAAAAGCAAACTCCGTGGTTTTAGATCGCAAGCCAACTATACCGACCGTAGCTTGTCGGCAAAGTTAGTTCAACCTTTAGCGGATAGAGAGTGTCGCGTGGTCAGGGCAACGAATCCCCATGGCCGCTAATCTCGGTTTTCTAGACCGGAGCCGCCATTTCTTTGAAATAGCTCCTTAGTTATCCTCACGAGGCTAAATGGACCCCGTTCCAGACCCATTACTTCTCAGAAAATCTGCTCCGACCTAGAAAACCGAAATTAACGGCCGTGGGGGTTCGTTACGCTGACCACGCGACAACCTCTATCCGATAAAGTTGGCAATAACTTCGCCGACAGGCGGCGGTCGCTCGGTCGGTATACTTCGCTTGCGGACTCAAGCCACTGAGTTTTGTTTTGTATTTCTAATAATCAAAAGTCATGATCGAGTGGAGAGGAACACTGATTTGTATTCTAGGTGACCGGGAGTCAAATCCCAGACCACAGAGCGGCAATGCTGAATGCGATGTTTCGTGGTTCTATTCAGTCCGTCCAATTAAGTGTCAGATGAGTTCAGTATCCAATACTAGATCAAGACTTTCTCCTTCATATTTGTAATTAACTTATACGCTGTGGGGTCTGAGAGAATGAAAGCATCGTCGTTCAGTTTGAAACATGGGAAGATGGCGCGATTCGTTTCTTTCAATCGTTACTACAAAGGGTCTGTTCAGAACAGTATGACTACTGTTCCTTAGCGAAATGTCTCACGCTTAGCAAGGAACATGTTAAAATCCAACTGACAGCATGCCAGTTCTAGGGGCTGCGGTAATAATCCTTTTGAAAATGTAATTTCTATGACGCAGAGTAACTTAAACACGAACCGCATAACAACTGTGAACACTCTCATGTTCTTACCTATGAATTTACAGCAAAGATTGATCTTACTTTTCATCCAGTTGAATCAGACCGTAATAAAGGCGGAGTGATTGTGCGAATAGACAGGATATTCAAATGTGAACTCTGACCTGACAAACGAGGACACACAAAGGGGACATCCCTCACTCATGTGACTATTATTGGAGGTCGAAGGGCTGAATGGGAGTCTGTTATTTAAATTTCACTGAGTAAACCACATAGCTCCACTCCAATTAATTACCGTCAACACAATAAAGGATCTACGCCATTGAGGACTCTTGAAACCCCGTCCCCCACTTCACCGACTGCTCTCCTTTGCATGTCTGACTCCATTAAGAGGGCTGCTTGCTTGCCTGCATTAATCTTCTTGCCCATTAAACCGCCCTTCTGAAACCCTCTCTTCCCGCAAGATCTTACATACCTAGCAATCCCTCTCTGTACAACTGAAATCACTTATGAGATTTCCGTATCTGAGAGATAGTACGAAACAACGTAAGTTATTTTAAACGCTTAGTAATTTCACGCATGTTGAAAATAACAAGGCGTTCCCATAAGAAACGACATCACAACACTTTCTCTACCAAATTATCGATTTAATAGAAATATATGAGCACTCGAGAGCTCCTACACCGAACAAGCCTAGCTACTTTAAACTTTCGTTATTAAAACAATATCTATAGCATATTGTTACGTCACTCTTGGTTTACATCCCTGTCTGCAAGAAGCATGCACAGACACGCTGTTTTATTTATTGCCACTAAACTTCTCAAAACACTGAAGATTAGGAAATAAAGTTCCAAATTGAACCCATAAAACATATTTCCTTATTTTATAGATTTCTCGTCCTGCAGAACTATTACTGATATTTTTATGGAGAACTTCTACACATAGCTTCGGATCTTAGCAATATTTGTAACTGTTCATTTACGAACAGAACTTCCCCACGTAATCTGTATGTGTTTTGTGGTGTATCTGTGTACAGAATGTCAGGTTCCTAGCTCCAGTTGTTCATCACTTATAGTCATCAAACTAAAAATTAAATTAAAAATTCTAATGGTCATGTTGTCATTTCACAGCTTGGAAAATAATTACTATTGTCAAGACTGGAATATTTTCTTAAAATCTATTTCTATCCATCATCCCATGACCCAGAACTAAGAGGTGCCAGTGATGCTTCCTCTCAGAAAGTTCCCGCTTCCGCCATGTTATTGCTAATTTGAGGATACCGGTGCGAAAAGTTGCCTTACAACATTTGGGTGGCCTCCAGGGGTATGGCATTCATACTAAATTCGGTGGGAGCTATTTAGCTGGTTCAAAACAAAAAACTCCGTTGTCTGTAATCCGCAAGAGAACTATACGGACTCTGTGGTTGGTCAGAGTTCCTTGCTAGAGATCCAGGGGTCCCGGGCTCGATTCCCGACGCTACCAGATTTTCTGAGAAGTAGTAGGTCTGTAACGGGGTCCACTCAGCCCCGTGAGGATATCTGAGGAGCTATTTGAAGGAAATAGCGGCTCCGGTCTAGAAAATCGAGACTAACGGCCGTGGAGAACCGTTGTGCTGACCACGTTATACACTCTATCGGCAAAAGTTGGCACTAACTTCGCCGACAGGCGGTGGCCGTTCAGATGGTTTTGTTGGTTCAGAAGTTGAAAAGGCGATCACACAAAAGTACGGTTGCAGACACAAACACACACACAGCACAGTTACCTTATACGAAGGCCGCGCCATAGCTCAAGCGGTTAGTCGCTGACTTCCCACCGCGGCGGCCCGGGTTCGATCCCGGGTCTGGTCAAGTGGGATTTGTGGTGGACAAAGTGGCGCTGGGACAGCTTTTCTCCGAGTATTTCGGTTTCCCCTGCCAATCCTCATTCCACCAATTGCTCCACAATCACCCTCACCTATCATCTGGGGCTGGTACAATAGGCCAGAATTGGCCGCAGTACAAGGGACCTAGTCCCACCCCACTAGCAATTAAAGAAAACTTATACCAATAACATTTTTATTAAGAAAGGAAATTAGGCTAGAAATTAATTATGACTGTTGCTCTCTATGGGTGTGGAGAGCGGTATCCTACTTTGTGGGAAGAATACAAATTACAAGACCTTCGAGAACGTGGAAGCATCCCCTGACGACAGATATGAGATTTCAGTCTCGCGGTGGTTATTGTCGACGACATGAAGAATACTATTTTCTGGCACATGACGTCATTCACTCCGGGAGGAGTTACCTGCGTTTCGGAAGAACGTAGTCTCTGTATCTCCAGCATCTAAGAACGAGACTTACACGCAAGGAGCAAGAAGAGGAAAGAGTTTCTGCTGGCTTTCATAGCTAACTCTCGAATCCTTCTATAAGAGTACACGGTATCACACCTCACACGAGAGTACTCTTTGTGAAAGAGGATTGTGGTGAGACAGATCAAGTGGACAGGGAAGTGTGAGACGTGTTCAACGGTTGAGTTTGATATTAGAGGCGTTAAAAGAAATATCTTACATGGTGACTTATATGAATTCCTGTGCGCATTTCACAAGTAAATTTCGACTATGTCACTATAGATTTATCGAAGCGAAAAATGTTTCAAACGACAGATTCATAACAGAATAAAATACGCATATCCCCTTATGTTTTTCAAGATTTCGAGTTAATTAAACAACACCCCAAAATCCGTTAGAATTGTAATGCTATACATAGGCCTATATTTTTTACTTTTTTTCTGGACGAGCTGTATCACATAGGCCTATATTTCCTAAAATCTAAAGAAGGAGCTGTCTCACGTAAGCCCACCTAGCTGAAGATCACTACAGTATCTCCTAGAACTTACGCCCCTCGGCGTGGGCGCAACTTACCTTCGACCTGGTCCCGTTGCCCTCCTCTGCACAGTGCACATGTCGAAATCTGGAGCCACCTGCACAGGTAACAGAGCATGGACCCCAGTCGTCCACTACCCACCTGCAACACACAGTGTCCTCCCGTTTAAATACACTGAGATGGTAGTTTCTCTTAATCAAAAGCGCAGTGGTAACTACATGTATCACTGTTTCTAACATTAACATCTTTGCTCTCTAGTTTACGTGTTTCTTGTAATTCTCAGAACAAGCAGCAAATATTTATGGGAACAGCATTAATCTGTCTTTGTAATAGAGACGTAGTGTATTTTCTGCAAGGTAGGAACTGAATTTAAATACTATTTGCATGAACTGTATGCTTTACAGCGTAATATGTGCTTTCAAACTCACGGAAGGTGGGACGTAATGAAATAGATAACGTAAATGCTCGTGTACACTCACTGTGAACAGGCAATGCAACATTTTCTTCCTCATATGAGCCTATATTTTCGGAAAATCTCAGGTCGTATTCCCGTTTATTACTGCTACTGGTAAAACTTTAACAGTAATTTAATTCAATACGCATAACTTTTAGAGAATTCATAATAATGACGCAAATGAAAAAAAAAGTAAATATAAAAACACCTGAAGGCCAGAATACAACCAACTTCTGAATTATGGTAACGCTGTCCCTGCGCTCAACTAATTAAGCATTACGCCGTTAAGGAGTATGGAGAGTAGGTGTATAGAGCCAATTTTTCTTGACCTCTGCAGTAGTTGGAGGCTAGTGGTTAAATTCATGCCCAGGCCGCTTTAACCCCGGGGAAAGAACCCCCGGTTTCCATTGGATAGGCGGTTGGGCGGACCCCACAGCCGGTCTGGACGAAGTAGAGAAGAGAAAATTTTGACCCTACCGGGACTCGAACTCTCGATCATCCAACCAGTAGCCAGTCGCTATACCGACTGCGCTATCCCGGTTCCTAACTTCTGAAGTATTATTAAATGTCTCTTACAAGGGACAATTTCGAACTAATGAATGGACCAATCGAAATTAAGTTTTATCCAGGCGTTAAGTAGCAACTCTAGGGATAAAATAAGTTAGAAAACTCACGCATAGAGTAACAAATCTTGAGCGTCCGCTCTATCATGATTATTTAGAAAAATGCAAGCCTCCCAGAAAAACGCACGTTCAATATTACTTGTGTGTATCAGTTTTCATTACAAATTTTCTTCGAAATACATTTCTCTTCAAAAAATACTTAGAAACTTAAGCCCGAGGTGCACACAGAAACGAATGTAGGCCGTAATGAATTGTTGTCCCATTTAACCCCAAATCAGAATGTTTCAACGAATTTCAATAAAACTCATGAATATCAAATTCCATGATAAGTTCTATCTTCTGGAATATAACGTTGTGTAGTCCGTTGGAAGTCAGCCGACGTTTCAAAGAAACATTTAGGGAACATCTTCAGGGCCGAAGAATAAACTAAGCAAGATATCAGCGTGAAAGCAGGTGGCAAGCAGAGCCACTTTGAGAACCTCAAATCCTACTTCAAAGGTCACGAAAATAAGCTCAGCTGTTCGCGAGTTGTTTAATTCAGAGACGGACGGATAGACAGATAGGAGAGGGGTAACAGGGGAATTTCTTAAACTTCTAGTGAGTACATGACAAAAATCCAGCCTTTTGCCCGAGGAACAATATTGCATTTTTCGCTCTGATTACGTCAGTTTCGATATGTATCGACCAAAATCGCAAACGTTTAAACAAGTTTATGCTGGTATAGGCATATTTATGACATAAGGCGGCATATTTTAGGATCAGTCTAAGAAAATGGGCGACTCCAAACATGTGGTTGAAGGCAGATAAACACGCAGTTCTAATTGTCAAAATCAGAGGGCAGCCCATCAGATCTTTCGGGCGGCGGAACAGTGATTGACGAGTGGGTCATTAGAGCCGGCGTCTCGCGTTAAGTGCTTAAGATCACGTCGGCGCCTCTTGAAATGAATGGGAACTAAAGGAATTTTGCCACCAAGACCTCTGTTCGTGTTCGGACAGGGCATTGACTCAGGCGGTTGGAATATTTACCAATTAAATGTCTTCTAGTTTACACAAACTGAATTAAGCTGAGATAAACAAGTAATATAAAAAAGAGGCAATATAGAAGTGTAAAAACTAGTAACTGCTTTAAACAATTACTCAATATTACATGGATAATGCCTCAATATTTCATTTAACATGTGGTCTGCGAGCATAAAGCTGCTTGCGGTAGATATAGAAACAACTGTAGTATAGTTGCTACAGAAACATTAAGTTTTTGCAAGATATTTTGAATTAACGTGTGTTTAAATGTTCATGTTCATATGTAGATGCATACTTTAACTAAGTTAAGGGAAGTTACTGCTAAAAGTTCCTACGTAAAACTTTGGGTAGCCCAAGAAACCCCTAATCCCGGAAAGAAGATGCTTATATTATAGGTGCAGACGAGGCAGTTGTCTGGCACAGGTTTCTGAAATAGAAAGAATTGCCTTTATTTTTTGCATCCTGTTGTTTATCATGTACTAAATGTATATCCAGGGCCGTCAATATAAAAACTGATTATAAATATGTATTAAAATGTTTAGTGTTAGGATTATTTTATTTTCATCCCTCTGCTTGTTTCGATCTATCAAGATCACCATCGGGTAGTTTTTATGAATTTTGTATGTCGTTTTTGATTTATTAAAATGGATATATTTTTTGCATTTATCAGTAATATTATAATCGAAATTTTAATTTTAAGCTTTTTTTTTTTGGGGCATGTCTCGAATAAGGTGTGCTAAAAGTTAAATGTGTTAAAAGTTAAGGCCGATGGCCTTATATGGCCGAAAGATGTAGCATTGTGATAATGAATATATATTCTAATATTTTAATAATTTTAATAACATTTTTTACATATAACGACCACTGTATTGTTAAGTGTGGATCAGTGTTATTAACTGTTGCATTGTAGACGAAAACAATAGACTATAAATCTGCAAGAAATGTTTAACTTGACTTACTTCTGGACTGATACACTGTTGAAGATACTGTACTTAGGAATGCTCAAGCAAACCGTTTTGCAAAGCTCAGGGTCATTATCAATTTTTTTACGAAACCGTTCTCTATGGCTGAGTTCAGATTGTTTAATGTTTTGGGTAGTATTTCTCGCGCGAAACAGCTACTAAAATCTATTTCTACACGAATGAATACACTAGCCCACCAACACACTCCAATTTTGCGCCATCCTGCATACATAATTCCATAAGAGTTCTCCTTCGGCTGAAATTGTGAGTGAACACTTTACAGCCATAAAAGTATATTGCCTGTAAAGCTTAGCAAAGCTAGTGATATGACCCACCAGACAAATAATTGCCCAATTCTGGAGTAAATGATCCGTGTCATGAAACGGACGCATGCGCATGTAAATCCGATCACAGGATGATTAGTTAATGAGTATTAAAACGCGTATAAGGAACGAACATGGTTGCCTGAAGGGATTAGGGAGGACCATGCTGTCTTCTGTCTCCTGAATGATATTCGGAACAGGCATCTTTCCAATGTAAATCCAGTGAAATTATCTGCTCAGTATGAATATTTTCTACCTTCAGCAGACAGTGTTCAACGTTCAGTGGTCTTAATTATTTTCTGGTATGAAGGTCATGTCAGCCGGTCACGGTAGCACGGTCTAAGGCATGCATTGTCTTCGCTCGCTCGGAAGCCGGGATCGTGGGTTCGAATCCCACTCAGGGAATGGATGTTTGTGTGCGTTTTTCTGTGTTTGTCTACAGGTAGAGGCCTTGCGACGAGCTGATCACTCGCCCAAGGAGTTCTATCGAATGTGTAAGATCTAGTAAACCGAAGTGAAACGGAGAGTTTCATGGAGGTAGGCCTAGGCCCAAATTGGGCTGTAGCGCCACAGAAAAAAAGATGAAGGTCATGTCACTGACGTATGTTTCTTTTGTTTCGGATTAGCTACTTTACAACGCTTTCAGTACCACAGCCTGAACGGGATCGAATGATAGGATGGCACATGAATTATAACGTCTTTGGAAAGAAGAGGTAATGGTCTCAGTTATTATTCTGATATGATCTTGGAAGGACTAAGGAAAACCACGAAGAGTTATGATAGTATGTATGTAAGTTGAGATTCGAACAGATCAACTTCCTTAATTCTCACCTTGTCACATATAGGAAATGTATTATTTCTTTTTGATTGGTTAAATGTGAGAAGATTCGAGGTCAATGCGCCATTCTTTGCAGGAGCGTGAGACGTTGTGTCGTTGTAATCTTGAACTTTCTGGGAAATATGTGAGTACCCTAACAATTCTGTCACGTTCGTCCATTTTGTTTAATTGAAATCGAAACCCCATGAATTAGAGACGATTTATTTGACATAAAATACTATAACGTGGATGGCCGAAGCGTTGCTGGGTAACGGACCGATAAACACATCGCGACCGAATACACGCAAGGCAACAATGGAAGTGCGGCAAAATCGCTTATGAAAAGGGATGGACCAAAGGCACCAACCGCTGTTCATGGTCCTTTAGGAAGAACATATCACCCTGATGAGAAAGCCAACGTGATAGCGGATTGTTTAGAAAACCAGTTCACATCTCATGACCTGTGTGACGAAAGCCATGTGCGGCAGGTAGAGACTACAGTCCAAGCTCTGCTTGCATCTGTAGATGGCACTCCGTTGGGGAAAGTACGACCTTGTGACATACATAAATTAACAAATACATTAAAATTGCGAAAGGCTTGTGGACTTGATGGAATTCCAAATGAATGCCTTAGGCATCTTCCAAGAAGACCACTGGTACATCTGACACAATTAATTAATCACAGCCTTCGGCTGTCCTATTTTCCAAAGCCTTGGAAGGAAGCAAAGGTCATAATGTTACTGAAACCCTGTAAGGACCCAAAATTTCCTCAAAATTTATGCTCGATTAGCCTCTTGTCTACAACAGGCAAGCTATTCGAAAAAGTTATTTTGAAAATAGTCCAAAGGCATATTGAAGAAAAAGGCCTGATTAATGCAAGCCAGTTTGGTTTCCGTACCCGTCATATCACGACACTTCAATGTATGAGGCTTACGGACCACGTAACCTTAAATTTCAACAATAACATGTCTACAGCTGCTGTATTCTTGGATATTGAAAAAGCCTTTGATAAAACATGGCACAATGGCTTGCTATATAAATTATCTACATTACAATTTTCCATAAGTTTAATCAAGCTTATTAGGTCCTTCCTTTCTCAGAGAAAATTCAGAGTTTCAATAATAAATTTATATATTAAAACTTGTTTAGATCTATCATCTTACACGTCGTATATGTCATAAATTTTATACCGAACAACGACAAACATAAAATTTAGACAATTTTATAAATGGACACTGGAAGGCAGTCCAATGGTTTAGCATGATAATACACCTGAGGATGGCAGAATGATGCCGAAACATGTAGTGTGAAGTGACAAGTGAAATTGTATGCACTAAAAGACGGTTAATATATACACATTATGGATACGAATCAGTGCAACAGGACGCTAAAATACAACATTATTGCTAGTTTCTATGTAGAAATCCGTTGCTAGGAGACGACTAGTGGAAGACAGACGATCCTAGCGCGTGTCCATCGGTGAACTGGAAAGTATGGAAATCAGCAATAGCGCCGTATTGCATGTATTTGAAGTGCAAATTAAAAGAGTGTGTAACCAAGCTGTTACTATATCCAATCATCCGAACCAGAACCCGTCATTTCGTCACGCGTACCCCCTTACACATGACAATACGTATTTAATTTTTCTGTACAACGTTTGCCCTAAATACGTAATTCAGGCCCGACATATATTTAACGATTAACGCTGGAGACACAAGCAGAAACGCATAGGCTTCCAGGCAAAGTGCCCGTTATTACTGACGGTTATAACTAAAATTACATTATGTATCAGCAAACCTTATTACAACCCCCCAACATCAAATCTTACGTAAATCCCTCCAGTTTGTCTCTTTATTGCTACATGTGGACAGACCTGTCGATAAATATAGGCGCATGTTTTGTAACTTTCCAATATGGTACGCGCCAGTAACTGAAACATTTGCTGAAGTCTGTAAGAATTCTGTATGAGCAAAATTCATTCAGGGGCCCTCTGCGCTTTTATGATATGATCTCAGTTTCTAGCCAGATTTCGTTCACCAGTTACTGGTAACAAGGCCTCGCCATAGCTCAAGCGGTTAGTTGCTGGCTTCCCACCGCGGCGGCCCGGGTTCGACCCCGGGTCTAGTTAAGTGGGATTTGTGGTGGACATAGTGGCGCTGGGGCAGGTTTCTCCGAGAACTTCAGTTTCCCCTGCCAATCATCATTCCACCAATTGCTGCACAATCACCCTCACCTATCATCTGGGGCTGGTACAATATGCCAGAAGTGGCCGCAGTACAAGGGACTTAGTCCCACCCTACTAGCAATAAAAAATTACTGGTAACAACAATTCCTTGCGCTTCTTTAAGATTCTGTGCAACGGCTCCTGTTCATACGCAAGCACAAGCCGATAGGGCTACACGAAATGAAGAGGTTCATCTATCGCGTACCGCCGTCTAGATACCTGTCTTGGGACCATCAATCGTCCTCAACACCTCTTTCACAAAGCCCCAAAACGAAGTGTACCAGGGTGGGAAATGTGGGGCCGTGCCGCAGGGCTTCCAAACGAAGTCATTTGATTAAGAAAGCTTACGTGAATGAACTATCCTGGTATTTGTCTGAATAAACAAAGGAAAATAATGACAATTATCAGTTAGATGACTGGTAACATGACCGAGATTGGAACCGAGTATCTCCCGAATATAAGCCTAAAGCGTTACCACTACAGGAACCCGCTCGGCACAACCAGTTCGTATTAAACAAATAAATAAGCGTGTTTTACTGATGCTGTTAAGTTGTTCCTGTGCGTATCTAATTAAGCACTACGCTATAGAGACGTATGGGGGGAGTGGCTGTATACATCCATATTTTCTTGACTTCGGCACTAGCTGGAGGTGAGTCGTCAGCTTCACGCTCCGGCCGCTTTACCCCCGGGGGAAGAGCCCCTGGTACCCATTGGATAAGAGGTTGGGTGGACCCCAGAGCCGGTCTGGACAATGTGGAGAAGAGAAAATTCTTGACCCTACCGGGACTCGAACTCCGACTCCTCGGCCTTCCAGCCCGTAGCCAGTCGCTATACCGACTGAGCTATCCCGGCTCCTTACTGATACTGCTAAACACCAAAACTACTTATAGTAGAAATTGTTGGTATTCCTATGCAAGAAAGCCTGATTATGGTCTGGAAAGGGTTAAGCTGGAAGTATGAAAGCTTTCAAATTTCAACGATGCCTGAAAATTACAGGGACTTATATCTCTCATTATCACAAAAGTGCCTTCCTGCAGTATCAGGTATAGACAGAGGACCGCACTATGTAAACATCTCTGTCCCTGAAAATCGTAAGAAGACAAAGATCTAGGGCAGCAAGTGACTTACTTGGCTGGACAGCGATGAGAGTTGCACTCTACAACTTTGCGCTCAGGTCTCTGGGAAGCGTTGCACAGCGGCTCATCAACCTCTGCGCCCGTCACTCGGTTTATACAAACCGGTCGCGACATTTTGTACCCTGAAACACAAACAGGATCAGGTAACTCACTGCATCACGATACTTCTATCTTGAAACACTGATTGTTCTACGCAATGTTCGATTTGTACTACACGTATATTTGGTTTATTTAACGACGCCATATTAATTACTTAGTGGGGGAAATGGGAGTACAATGAGAAAGTAAGTACATCAGCTATTCGTAGACTTCAAGAAAGATAATGATTAAGTTAGGAGGGAAGTATTGTACAATATTCTCACAGAGTTTGGGGTACATATGAAACTAGTTCGGCTGATTAAAATGTGCTTAAACGACACACATAGCAAAGTCTGCATAGGTAAATAACTGTCTGATAATTTTCCTATCCGGAACGGTCTAAATCAAGGAGATGCTTTGTGGCTACGGTTTTTCAACTCTGCTTTAGAATATGCCATTAGGAAGGTTCCGGAAAATCAGGTGGCACTGAAATTATGTGGAACACATCAGCTGTTGGTCTAGGCTGATGATGTGAATCTACTGGGTGATAACACAGATACCATAAAGAAAAACATAGAAACTTTAACTGATGCTAGTAAGGAGGTTGGTCTAGAAGTAAACACAGAGAAAACTAAGTATATGTTACTGTCTCGTCACCAAAATGTTGGGCAAAATCATGATATAAAGACAGGAAACAAATGTTTTGAAAATGTGGCACAATTCAGATATTTTGGAACAACGATAACAGATCGAAACCTGATTCAGGAGGAAATTAATAGGAGACTGAACTCAGGTAATGCTTGCTACCATTCAGTCCAGAACCTTTTGTCTCCTCGTCTGCTTCATCAAAATATAAAAATCAGAATATACAAAATTATAATTTTGCCTGTGGTTTTGTATGTGTGTGAAACTTGGTCTCTGACATTAAAGGGTAAACACAGACTGAGGGTATTTGAGAACAGGGTGTTGAGGAGAATATCTGGACCAAAGAGAGATGAAGTGACAGGAGGTTGGAGAGAACTGCATAATGAGGAGCTTCATGACTTGTACTGTTTGCCAAATATGATTAGTATGATCACATAAAGGAGGTTGAGATTGGTAGAGAATGTAGAACGAATGAGGGAGAAGAGAAATGCTTATAGGACAAGGTGGGAAGGCCAGACGGAAAGAGACCACTAGGAAGAGCAAGACTTAGGTGGGTGGATAATATTAAAATGAATCTTAGAGAGACAGAACGGGTGGTATTAATTGGATTTATCTGGCTTAGAATAGGAACCAATGGAGGGTTTTTGTTTACACGGTAATGAACCTATGGATTTAATACAATGTTGGGAAGTTTTATTGAATACCCGTACAACTGGCGTCTTCTCAAGAAGGGCTCAGCTCCATGAAGTTAGTTAGTTCTCTCAATTACTTAGGACAGGGGTCGATATTCGTATGTTCAGGAGCGTCTTGGAGTAGTTTGGAAGGAATTCTGGAAGCACGCGAAAATCTTAAAATCAAGTAAAATCTTACTAATTCGGACTAATAAGTTGGGAGGGCGTAGCCAGAGCTATTAAAAAATTCCGAATCATAGAACATAATTATATAAATATTTACAAATTGCAATTCTTTTTAAGAAAGGACATTTGTGTTGTTTTCAGTATAAATTATATATTTAGATTTATTTTTATTTATATTTATTCAGATACTTATCTAACCCAACAGGAAATAACAAATTTTATCACTGAATTCTCAGAACAATCTCCGTTCTACGTAAATAGAATAGGCAGTCCGAAACAGTGACGTTTTATTCTGTTCATAATATAGTCTTAACTGTTCGCCGAGGATCGCAAAGCAAGTGATGGATTCCGCTCGATGAACTGAATTTCTGTCCAAAGTCGAGGATTTCCAAAAGCCTACGCTGACTTCAGTTGTCACATTTATTACGAGGTTGGAAGGAGTTATCCAAATGTTTTTGTTACCCGTTAGATTTTTTTTTCAAGAAACAGAGTGCAAGAAGAACAAAGTTTTGGATAACGTCTTCATGTGAGAAGACTAGGTGCTGAGTTACAGTAAGTTGAGTTATCCCAGACGACTTATTTTCCTCACTAAACTAATACAGCTCCTTGTATAAATTATGAACTTTTCCTAGCTGCGTATCCTCCCTTAAATCTGGAGACCCTTGACTTAATTTACATAGAATCGAAGAGGAAGTGACAATAACTATGGGTTGATAATTTAGAGTGACACAGAAAGAAGCAGTTTCGTCTGCTTAAGTATACCTAACAGCGTACACATGCCGGTCAAGAAGTCCCTGCCTTTTGCAGAGGCAGAAGATCCACTACAATGTTCATCTCCTATTGTGTAAGATTAGAGGTTTTCACGGCGGTGACTATGAAGAATGCCGTCTTTTAGGATGTGGCGTCGAGTAGATATTGTATTAACCGACGTTTCAGAGGAACGTATCGCCTCCATCTTCAGGGCATAAGAAATCCGCGAGCGATGAACCAGCGTAAGAAGGTGTCTGTAGACTCAGTCTACAAAATTTCTACACGGCGCCACATCTCTTTTTGATCACATACGTGCTAAATGGCCCACCTATCTCATACTCATTGATTTAATAATGGTAATATTTATTTAAGAATAAGAATGGTTAAGCTTCTCATTATGTAATTTTCTCCAGTTTCCTGTCATTCCACTCTTTTAGCTCCACATTTCAGCCGCCCTTCGTAGCGTGTTCTTCCTTTAATGTCAGAGACCAAGTTCGCACCCATAAAACCAACGGGTAAATTTACAATTGTGTGTATTTTTCTCCTGGTTATACGTGGGAAGACAGATGATTTAGCAGAGGAGTTTGTTCCCGTTTCGTCTGACACATGAGTGCAGTTCATGATGTCTATTGGTTACAGTATGAGACCATCTGAACGAAAGACCTAAAAATTAAAGTTGTCCCTGTGCTTAATTAATTAAGCACTTCGACATGAAGGCCTATAGGGGAGTGGATGTATTGGTCTACCATTCTTGACCTTGGCACCAAAACACCTTACATTTTAAAAGTCAGACAGGCTTTCCATCCATTTGATTAATCTGAAAGTTACAGCCTTCAGATCCACAGTCTCACTTTAATGGGCTCTCCCGATCGGAGATGAACGCTTCTAGGGTTCCCTCATTAAAAATACTAAAAAGAAACATGTCCAATTAGGAACTAGAAAGAATATTGTTCTACAAATAAACTCAGAAGAAAGTGGGCCTGTCTCATCAGCAGAAAGCAGGGCAGAATCTTACAATATGCATAATGGTATCTAATAAATTGTGCGGAAACATCTACTTGACACTGGCAGTTACGGATTAAAATATATAAAACATTCTCGGAATAATCACTGATTATTATCCAAAGAGTATTAATGAACTGTTCTTTGCAATGGGAGCACACTGTACCGTCTGTCAGGCAAGAACTAAATGTTAAAAAACTATTTAGACAAACTAGAGGCTCCACGGAAATAAAAGATAACAAGCCTTTTCGATGTTGGTCAAAATCTTCTTCCTCGTGAAGTGTAATTCAGAATAAATTATCGGCAGCTTGACTGTAAGTTATCCACTAATTCTCATTGTTTCTTATGGCACACATGCATATGTACAGGTGTAAGTTCATGACGGGCCGCGCCATAGCTCAAGCGGTTAGGCGCTGGCTTCCCACCGCGGCGGCCCGTGGTCGATCCCGGGTCTGGTCGAGGGGGATTTGTGGTGGACAAATTGGCGCTGGGGCAGGTTTTCTCCGAGTACTTCGGTTTCCCCTCCCAATCTTTATCCCACCAATTGCTTCACAATCACCCTCACCTATCATCTGGGGCTGGTACAATAGGCCAGAAGTGGCCGCAGTACAAGGGACTTAGTCCCACCCCACTAGGAATAAAAAAAAAGTTCATGATGAATCTAAGTAAAGATTCAAATTTGGAAATGATTGGTGCTCTTCACTTTATGATACGTTTAACCTTCCACGTTTATATAAAATTTTAAAGATAAAAAGACAAACGTAAGCAAACGTACCCGTTCTGCATCAGGGATGCTATTGCTTTCCTTGCGAGTACCAAAATAGTATACACAGCAGCTGAAAGTTTGAACGAAGAAATAGCGCTGAGATTAAGGAACTGAATCTTACTCATGTACCTGTATCTAAAGAGAAAGGAGGCTGCGAGTGAGGATTCGAACAGCATCCGAAATTTTAGCCGAAATGCCTGCATATCGCTTTAACAGCCGTGGCAACAATACTACGTGTTTTTCATACAACTCTGGGTTTCCTCTGTTAAGCGCTGCGGAACAGAAAACAGAAATTTTATATTTTTGTACCTATTAGAACAATCTCGGAATCGAGATAGCGCAGTAGGTATGACTGGCTATGGGCTGGACTGACGGGAGGGGGGTCGGAGTTCGTTTCCTGATAGAGGAAAGATTTTTCTCCTTTCCATGTCGTCGAGACAGCTTCTGGGGCCCACCCAGCCTACTATCCAATGGGTAACGGGGGCTCTTTCTCCTTGGTTAAAGAGACAGTAGCGTTAAAGCTGACCACTCACTTCAAACTAGTGCCGAGGTCAAGAATACGTGGATCTATATCCACTCCCTATAAGTTAAGCAAAGGTAAAATTTTGTCTTTTTTGAACAATTTCATATTTGCTTTAGTGTGGGCATAAACTTGGTCTACTCTTCTAAGAGAAGGGCACAGACTAAGAGTATCTGAGAACAAAGGTGTCTGGAAAGTATCTGAAAGAAGAAAGCGAAAATGAAGCGTAGCAAGAAATTGCAGTCGGCTCTTGAGAAGTGTCACATATGCAGAGTCACTAATACTGTTGCTAGGCAATCAAATCAAGCGGAGGGGGGTGAAATGAGCTCAAGTGTAGCATCCAGACATAAATTAGAAAGGCATATATATATATATATATATATATATATNNACAGGTACGATACCATCGTATCGAGTACCATGTGTATAAGATGCTAACATTTCAGATCTCCTAAAAGCCTGAACTGTTTCTTTAGAAACGAAACAAATATAGACTTGTAAAACTGATGCTGAAGGCTTAGCACGCAATCACAATATTCTTAAAATAATGAAGAAGCGACACTCGTCATGACTGTAAGGAGAACTTCAGTTACAAAGGAACAACAGAAATCCATTTCTGATTCATTCACAAGACGTGATGTAGTTTGTCATTAGGCTTAGAATCTACAAGAACTTTCAGATGTGGGAGGTCCGAGACAATGTACAGGCTGAGTAACTGCAGACAACAGCATCAACATATTCAGTGCGGCGAAATTTGGAAAATCAGCAAAAACTATTAATACAGAGAGCGAGACCCCTCCACGAAGCCGTTGCAGTCAGGAGGTTGCTAATTTCACGGGAGTGTGAGGCCTGGCAGGCCGCCAGATGAGAACTGCTGAGGCGTATTGAGACAGTAACATCGCTGCAGCACGAACAAGTGGGGCTCGGTATCTCAGCAGGACTTCAAGGAGAAATCGAACATGTATCATCCAGACTTCATTCTACATGACCCGCGATCCATAAAGCCTATAATGCCATTACTGAATTAATAAATTCCTCATCTTTTTTAACCGCTTAAAGCGCATTGCAATTATATATATTGCCAGTTTTAGCATTAAGGAACTCGACACGTCGCCGAGAGAGTGTATTCAACTATTTTCATATGATTCTCATGAGGCACAATCAATATCTCCCTAAACAACATTATGCCATTGGTCTTTGTAATGGACGTGCAGCGTGTTTTCTGTGAGGTGTGGATTAAATTTTGAAATATCAATTACATTAAAGACGTTAAAAGACAACAGACCTCTTCTGATATCAATCCATGTATTCTTCCTCGCAGACGTTAATTCGGAATGGAGTAATTTCTCTCAACAGTGTGTCTATAGGATCTGTTCACGGAAGTTAGGAGTATTCTCTCTTATGACGCACATGCACACGCATACATACATACATACATACAAGTTTTTCTCTCATATTATTACCTTTTACCCAGCCCAAACGCGTATATCCTCTCACACTTCATAAAACAGTGGGGAATTATAAAGCACGGTGTTCCACAAAGATAAATTTTAGGTCCCTTACTTTTTCTTCTCTACATAAATGATCTATCTAAAACCATCAACAATAAATCTAAACCAATTCTATATGCAGATGACACTAGTATAATATTTAAGAACTCTAAATTTGAAAACTTTAAAAATAACATAAATCTGTAAAGTACTTGATACAAAATTCCTTGGAATACATGTAGACAGTACACTGTCTTGGAAAATACATATTGAACAAATTATACCTAAATTAAATGCAGCTTGCTATGCGATGAGATCAATTAAGCCTTTTATGTCACAGGAAACATTGAAGATGGTTTACCATGCCTACTTTCATTCTATTATGAACTATGGATTCCTACTGATTCGAGCCCGGGTCTGATCATGTGGGATTTGTGGTAGACAAAGAGACGCTGGGGCAGGTTTTCTCCGAGTACTTCGGTTTCCTCTGCCAATCTTCATTCCACCAATTGCTAGAAAATCACCCTCATCTAATATCTGGTGTTGGTACAATAGGCCACATGTGGCCGCAGTACCAAGTGGACTTAGTCCCACTCCACTAAGGAAAAAGTATAGCCGTTTTAGCAGGAAAGGTGACACAAACACACACACATATTTCACCAGATTAGAGTTCTGTCGCACACATGAGAAGCTAACGCTAAAGAGAATATATATACTATATACAGCTATACACAAGTGTTTGTATGTATGTGTGTGTAAACCGTAGTTACATCCCTGCTACATACTGCATTTAAGTGACGAAGATTCAATCTAAAACGTTTCTTCCGTAAGCACAGTGTGAAGAATTGGAGTTGCTTTCTTCAAAGATTATTCTTGAATGACGAATTTAACGATGGTGACGTTGTACTTCTATTTATAACTGAAATAACACAGAAAAGAATGACCTCATTCTATGCCTGTCATTTCCATTTACTAAAGGAACAATTTCTTTTAAGGTAATTAACCACAGAGATGGCTGTAAATCCTATTTCATACACCCAATAAAAGAATGTAATCCTGGACGAAACAAACGCGCCTTTCAACACTTTCGGAGAAATCACACGAAATGTGGCCATGGAAATTTCAGGAAAGCAGCAGGTAGGTACTTATGTAACTCCTACATGAGTTGGAGTGAGGTGTTGATGCACAGCACGTAACACAGAAAATGTTTCTGCGAAAGAAAATTGGGACAAACAAAAAGAATTCGCAAAGTGAAGAGCCTTAAATCGAAGTATGCAACTTATGCATCGTGATGCAAGTATGTGGATATGTGACTGGGTGTTACTAACCTCCTCCGCACGTCACAGAGCAGAGTGACATGGCAGCTTCCTCCCAGTGGTACAATGGCTGCGCGCAGGACAAACCATCACCACCACACACGCCGCACCCGTCCACTTTCTTCATGGAACCTATCTTCAAGTCACAGCCCACACGCTGTAACACAAACATATTCACCATATACAAGACTCTCTGAACATACAATCAAGAGTCACCCTGTTGGAAGTAATGAGATATGACAGTAAATTAATAAGTGTTATAACATTTCAAATTCGTCGAATATTAAAACACCTAATTAGATCCTTCGAAAATGTAGCAAAGTTTAATTATTTTGAAACGACTGTAACAAATCGAAATTTAATTCATGAAGAATTAAGAGCATATTAAATTCGGGTAATTCTTGCCACAACTCACTTCAGGAACTTTTGTCTTCTCGTCTGCTGTCTAAAAATATAAAAGAATTAAGATATACAGAAGTATAATTTTGCCTTTAGTTTTGTGTGGGTGTAAAATTAGGTCTCGGACATTAAGAAAATAACACAGAATTAGGATGTTTGAAAACAGAAATGAGGAGAATGTTTGGACCACAGAGGGATGAAGTGTTGCGAGTATGGAGAAAATTCCATAATGAGTAGCTTCATAACATGTACTCTTCGCCAAATATAATTAGAATGATCGCGTCAAGGAGGATGAGATGCGTGTGGAGAAGACGTATGGGTTTTCGGTTGGAACGCCAGAAGGAAAGAGACCTAGACGTAAGTAGGCGGATAAGGTTAAAATAGGTCTTAGAGAAATAGGATGCCATATCATGAACTAGGGCCGGTCACGGTAGCCGAGCGGTCTAAGGCATGTACTGTCTTCGCTCGCTTGGAAACCGGGATCGTGGGTTCGAATTCCACTCAGGGCATGGATGTTAGTTTGTGTGTCTGCGTTTTTCTGTGTTTGTGTACAGGTAGAGGCCTTGCGACGAGCTGATCACCTGCACAAGGAGTCCTACCGAATGTGTAAGATCTAGAAAAACCGAAAGTGAACGGAGAAGTTCATGGAGGTAGGCCTAGGCCTACTTGGGCTGTGGTGTCAAGGAAAAAAATCCTGGATTAGGTTCATGTGGCTCAGGAGAGAGACCGCTGATGAGGTTCGATGAATACGTTAATGAACCTTCAGATTCTATAGAAACCGGGGGATTTCTTCATTAGTCGAAGGTCGACTAGCTTCTAAAGCAACACTCTGCTTCATGGAGGTCGTTCTATGAACGACTGTGAAATGTGGCATCTTGTTTTGTGTGAAGAATATTGGTCTAAATTATCAATTTTTTAAAGCTCGTTGCTCAGGAGAATATCTGGATATCCGGGGAATGTGGGATACTGCACAAGGAGGAATGTCTGATTAATACGGACCACTTACTGTATCTATAGGTTTAATATAGCTACAGTTATTTGTTTACGTAACTCGGAAGACTGATACATGCATTACTTTTCGTTATGAAACCTGCTCGAAAATGGTCACATGGAAGCCGAGGAGATGGGAGATTAACATAACATCAACTATAAACTTCAGAATTTTAAAATTGGGATATACGAAACGACGATTGGTTATTTAATCTGATGTGTTCTTACACTGCAGGCTTATTCGAATTTCATCTCCAGTTGCGGACTATTGCAAAATATCTGGCTAACACTTAACATATTAGTCAAAATCTACATCCACAATTTCCAGAAATTTCGTCTGTACACATACGTCTAGAATATCTTACATTTTAAAACGCATCAAAAATTCTTAATTTTAAGGGTAAAAATGAATCTCGAAAAATGTATATTTATTCTCCAAACAGATGTGCAGTTTTTAAAGAGCTCCATAGGAGGCAGTGCTTCTTGTAAGTCGTGATTATGTAGTGCAATCCCTTTGTATCAGATTTTATCAAAATAGATCGTTCTATCGGACGTGCACGTCTATTCAATTCTTGTGCTTTTTGCAAAGAACAAACAATAAATTGAAACATCAGGAAAGTTGTACGTACACGCTCTAACCTATGCGCAATCACTTCGTGTAATTTGTTCAAAAATGGATAATCAATAGAGATTTAATAATTTAAGACCTTACCTTAATACAACTGGTACTTGATACTATTTCGCAGAATTGCATGGTCATTGTCTTGCGAAGAAACAGTCAATACTGAAGCCTATAAATTCAGATTATACTGTAGTCAACCTCTTCAATGAAACTTTACGAAGGCCACTTTTGGATTCACCAGAATGACACTGTCATACGGCCGAGAAATAATGGATATGCTGAAGGATTATTCCCAGAGAGGATTTTAACCGCCAAGATCTAATATTCCATCCCTCGGGGCGGGGGTTTGAGGTTCTTAAAGATCGTGTGTACAAAAACACACGAAGTATATTACTGAATTCGAAAGCTGAAGACGCTACCTGCAGAAACACGGTCCAAACTGTTACAGATATCTATCCAAACACAAATAAGTGGCCCGATTCATGTATTCAGAAGAATAGAGGGCATGTCTAGCAATTATAATTGTTGCTAAATGATATATTAACTACGTTTCCGGTTTGATTACGGCATTGTATGTACAACACCTTTTTTTTCCTTGGCACTACAGCCCCAGTGGGCCTAGGCCTACCTCCATGAACTTCTCTGACCTACACCATATAGAGAGACAAAATCATGGTTTGCATGAGTCGCAATAACATCCACGCGCAACTTTGCAGTGAATGCACTATATTTACCTTACAAAATGGAGATAATTAATCTGCAGTTCGAGACTAAGGGGTCATATCATATTCACATATAATGATTTGTTCCTAAATAAAATAATGGCCCTACTTAAAAATGTTGATCAACTGACTGGCTCATAGATTACAACTATTTTTAAGAAGAAAGCAGTCTTCTGGGATTTGGTACCGTGTATATCTGGTGTTAACCGACGTTTCGGAGGAATGTATCGCCTCCATCTTCAGGGTAGAAGGAAAAATATGAGAAATCGGCAGAGAACCGGTTCTCACGGTCTCTTCGCCTTCGGATTTCTTATATTTTTCCTTCTACCCTGAATATGGAGGCGAAATCCTCCGAAACGTCGGTTAACATCACATATACACGGTGCCAAATCCAGAAGACTGCTTTCTTCATAGTCACCGCGGTGAAAACCTCAAATCTTACAACTATTTTTAAGTTTTCTGTATTATTCAAACAACAGTGATAAGCAAATGATTAACAAGAGCTCGATGTGCATAGCTAGAAGTTCCAAATTTGTGTAAATAATATTTTGAAATTCGTTTGCTAATGCACAGAAAACTTAATACGGCTCAATTGCAAAGTCCATTCGGCTAAAGCTGTATATGGATGTTTATACTGAGAACTGCAGGAAACACAAATATGGCCCATATTCTGTAGGCAACATGCAGAGTTTCTGGATGTTAAAGCAAGTGGTATATAAGTTCTTACCGTGCCTTAAAAGGTTTAAAGTCGGTCCATCCTCAGTGGGTAATCGAGAATGTAAACACATTAACAAACCAAACCGCACTTAAAAACAAGGGTGGAACGGTGCACTCTACTGGAATACAAACAGGCCTGGTTTCCGCATGCGGATTTCCCGTATTGCTCACACCATTGCTCTTGGTGTTCACTTATTGCGTGCACATGTCCATGGCACAAGATGTACTCGTACAAAGAACACGGCCACAAATAATTCCTAATTTTATCAAGTCTTGAAGGATTTCTGAGTTATTTTTATATTCTGGCATGGCAGCTAAAAAACCGGGATAGTGGAGCCAGTAGAATCGGCAGTTGGTAGGGAACGGTCGATAAACACATTTCCGGTAAAACGAATACATGACGTAACAAGAGAGGAATTGTAAGAAACAGTGTTTCCTATTGGGTCCGCCCCGAGGTTGCAGCGATGCAAAAGAACTGCAAAGGAGAGGAGCACAATGAACTCCCAAGGGATCCTCTGGGAGGACTTTCTTCTCTAAGTCACCTCACCAAAGCTATTCTACGCAGCTGCATTGCGTTAAGACAGACAACGCCATCAAACACAGGCACTGCAGACACATGGGTAAAGCTTAAAGCTCTCCGTGCAGCAGCATGTAACACAAAAGGAATTTCAGAGAATAGGCCTGTCAGTATAGGCTCCCAGTTCGACTTACAGTGGCACGTTAAAAATCGCCACTGTATTGCAACAGATAATCATAGAGATCAGTGAAGCTATGTCAGAAAAAGACAAAATAATGGCCATTACAAGAACGGTACTTAATAAAACAAAATGACTGCTAGAGTTCGTAGGCTGTACTTGATACAAATGGAATATGCAGACGGCGCTGTGAGTTCAGTAAACAGCTGCACGACTTACATACATATGCAGCTCCACCCTCAGAGACACATCTCAAAACCCACGAGAGTTCTTTGCTCCTAATTAGGCCACGCCATAGCTCAAGCGGTAAGTCGCTGGCGTCGCACCGCGGCGGCCCGGGTTCGATCCCGGGTCTGGTCAAGTGGGATTTGTGATGGACAAAGTGGCACTGGAGCTGGTTTTCTCCAAGTACTTCGGTTTCCCCTGCCAATCTTCATTCCACCAATTGCTTCACAATCACCCTCACCTATCATCTGGGGTTGGTACAATAGGCCAGAAGTGGCCGCAGTACAACGGACTTAGTCCCTCCCCACTAGCAATATGAAAGAAAAAAGAATAATACTCATAATCATCACTTTTATCGGACTGTCCACTTCCCGGAAAGAAAAGGCATACGCAGGTAGACCTAAGCTATGCATGCGATACGTACACTTGACAAACGCAAAGACTATTCATAGGAGACAAACCATCCTCTCCTCGGAGAAGATGTTATATAAGGACTATTATCGCAAGGGTTCTGTTGCAAAAAAGATCTCTGGTCGTGAACCTCAAGGGGCTTGGTGCCAAGACGAACTGATTGGTGGTAAACTCTCAGTCGTAAAGTAACTATGGCTTTGACTATGACATTTAGAGCATGGGTTAGATGCGAGACAGCCTCCAGCCGGTATCGACATGGGCAGAAGAGGACCCTGTTGGATTCGGTTACAAGGCATTGACTAGTGAAGACTTAGAAGACCTACTGTTTTCTGTAGTGAGAAGTAAAGTGCGTGAATTTGCGAGAGCGCTATAATTA